GTGTATGACTGGTGTGTTATTAACCCTTTTACTGCTCAGCTGTGGTGGAAAAACCCCCACCACAATCATAAAAAAAAAACATTTTTTACCTTATTACATCGTAGTAGAGCATGCAGAAGTAAAGAATAAACACCAGAAAGTCATATCATGACCTCTGTGTAGATCTGGTGGTTTCCTGAGTGAGTGGGGGGTCAGTCTGGTCTGGGACAACTCTCACGGACTGTAAGATAAGATTGAAGGACAAGCAGGACTTGTTTGTTTTTCCAGATGTGGTATCATACACTAGTGCAGCATTGGTTGTGAATAATACGACTGTATTGTACAAATATCACACTGATATAAATCACTAAAACTACTGTATAAATGTCTAATATTTACATTATATACATTTTTTCCCACTATGTATAGGTGCCGAAGGTGATATCTATGTGTCACTGGTACAACCAACTAGCTGGGATTTCAAACAGTGGCAGGAAAACCTAAAACATCATATAATGCATTGGAGCAGTGAAAGGGTTAAGAACCTTGCAACTAACAAAGTCATGGACCCATAAGCAGTTTGGTGCATAGTTTAGAACAGTATTTCTCAACCACTGGTCCACAGACCTGCACCATTCTGTCATAACCACATTGCTATTGCATGGATTTTTTTTGGGGGGGGGGGAACAACAAACAAAACTGACAGAATATTCGTATGTAAATCGTAATTGTTTTTCCATGTACTTTCATTTTAATGGTCAGTGACAGTTTAAGAATGCAGTAAGTCGGTCCTGGATATCAAAAAGGTTAAAAACTGATTTAGAAAAATGTGTTTAAAAAGACAGTGGGGTCCATATCAGTAATGTAATAGATTAGCATTAGTCAGAGAAGTTTTATAAACAGCATGGTAGCTCAGTGGTATGGAAATGTTTTGCCACAAAATGATTACCAAAGATCTTTTTATCTCTAGGGTCAACGGATGGCAAAATTCACGTTTGGAGTGCTGAGACAGGAGCAAAAACAGCTGTTCTTACAAGTGATCAGGCTGGCCCTGTACAGTGTGTTCAGTTCAGTCCTAAGTATATGATGCTGGCTTCTGCTTCTACTAATATGGTAAGTTACCTTTATATGTGAAGTCTCAAAATTCACTTATGAAGTAAATTCTGTTTGTGAACTGATGTTAACTGTTGATACTGTTAAATTTTCTGTGTGCATTAACAGTGACATATAAGATTGTTTTTTTGTTTTTTTTAAGGCTTTCTGGTTGCCAACAGTTGAAGAAGGATTGTGAAAGTAGTACTTGGCCAGTTACTACTACATTTAAGATAACGTTGCTACACTAGAAAGTATGCAGTTTGAGAAGAATGTATAGACTGGGATAATAGTTGCTGTTTCTTGAAGGTTTTTACACTTCAGTTTCATAGGTACCGTGCACCTTCTCTGAAACACAGCCAAAGTTCTCAAGGGTTTTAAATTATCATTTTCATCTTGTGGCTTGTTTGGATACTGACCATAGAATGAGGAACTTCATATTTGAAGTGAACATTACAAATAAACATTTTTTTATATCTAATGGATCAACAGAGACATTGTTTATATGGACATATGCATGCGAAGGACTTTATGATTTAAGTTTGAATGTACATTAGTGGGGGCCATTTTACAGTGGTGAAGTTTTCTTTATTCCAGTGTGTGTTCAGAAACATTTTGATTTTATTGCAGCACGTGAAAAGATAAATGTACAAGCTGTGTTTAAATGAAATATTTTATTGTGCTTTCAATAAAATTCATGATTTTTTTACATTTTCCATCAACCAGCAATACTAAATGAAACTATTTACAAGTATATACCTGTGTTTATTTAAATATTGTCTGTTATTCATGGTAAAATTTGTATCTCCAAGATTTTTTGTTTACATACCAACTGGTAAAACATCCTAAATAATGGCCAAGTTTATGACATAACGTTTTTAAAGTTACACACTTCTCTTGGTAATTTTCTAAAGTTCCTGTAACAGATATTTTTTGTTTAAATAAGTTATCTAAACACTAATTATTGAAGTTCAGTCTTCATTTGTTCATTGTTTCTACAATTAGATGAAAGTGTGTGTTTCAGGCAGCTGTAGGATATTAAAACACTTAAGGTTGGTTTTTAATTATAACTTCACATGCTGGTAGATAGATCACTTCTAGGCAAATATGCTATTTGTATAGTTTTGCAAGTTGAAACCTTTAAAACATTCTGTGTATGCATTAAAATATTTCTGTGAGTTAGATGTTCTGTATATTATGAATCTTTTTGTATTAATTATTATACAAAAATGCACATTGCCTTTTTTTCTAAGGTGGCAACACTAAAATCACAAATAATTGGTGAGATTGAAATAAAATGCAAAAATAATTTTTGCTTTCTTCAGTGCAGAAATGAAAAAATTGAAATTAAGTATTTTTTGATTTAGCTTGTCTTATTAAGAGGAAAACTTTTAAAGGATGCCATGATATTTTACTATTGTAAATCTTTATTTTCATTATTAGTGTAGCTTATAGAAACAATACTAATATTCAAAACAATGTACACATTATGGGTAGGATGAGAGAGAGACCATTTAGCTTAATTGATGTGTAAGAAGACTTACAAAGCATTTTTCATCATCATCCTACTTACAGTGAAGGTCCAAATAAACATTTGGAATGTAAACAATATCTACACTTTTGTAAAAACAGTTGCTACTTTAAGATGACAACAGAGAATGTTGGTTAACCTTTTGTTCATCGTAAGAATGAAGTAGCTTATCTGAATAGATTTTGACGTTACCTTTAATATTGTATGCACTAGCATATGCCTTTAAGATTGTTATTTGTATGATATCATGGTTTAAAATAAATTCCTTCATTGTAACATATTTTTTCTAGAAACTAGAATGATAGGAGTTGGGTTGAGAACTTTTACATAATTCCTTTTCTGTTTCGGTCATATTAGTTAAAAACTTAACACACATCAAAAGATCTGCACATTTGTTTTATTTTTTTTTACAGAATATTAAGCTTTATAAATTTTGTGCAATAGACTTTTTCTATCATTTAGTTTTTTTTTACAATGTATTTATTTCACTTGTCTAGTCTTACGATCACAGCTTCCTTACATCAGTAATCGCTACTTTGCAAACCGAGTGTAGAAGGCCAACTTCACCTGCTCCACTTGGTGACAGAACTTAATGGCTGGTCCCAGTTTCAGTTCCAAAAATTCTTGAACTGCTGGGAGCGTTAAAAGAAGTAATGCTTGGCCATCTACTTCCTGGAAGGAATGTCATAATGTTCTGGTTAAAAGGACAGCCATCACAGTATGTCATAAAAATATTAATATTACCTTGAACTAAAAACAAAGTTGATGGATATTATGTGAAACAAATTATATATATATATATATGTTAATAACTGATGCACTAAACATGCAATTTTTTACCCATAACTAACTATGTCAATTTAAGATATTTCAATGTAAATGTACAAATACATAAGCAGTAAAACTGAATATAAATTAGTTATATAATGTAATTCACAAGCTTGGGGCATTTCCATCCTATTAAAACTACTGTCTCAAAAGTAAGATCACAGATGTGAAATGAATATTTTTTTTAAATATTCCAACAAGTTCAAGTAATATAAACGAATTAATTTTTTTATAAATATGCACTAAATCACTCTAACTAGCAGTGGCTTCTTAAAAATCTGTAGTTGGAGAATACGAAAAGAAAAACTGAAATGCTTAATGACATTTATATAAAAAATATTAAAAATACTTTTTCTATTTTAGGTATATGTGTAACTTACTTTAATTATTTTATTATTACAATACCCCACCACATATACAATGTTATTTATAGTAGCCAGTTCACAACAGGCATTACTCACTTTGTACTTTACTTCAGTTTGTGTTTGGTAACATTTTAAAATTTCCAAACAAATCTGATGAAACAAAATATTTATAATCATTTTTTTTCATATTTAAGACAATTTTTATTAAATATGTATAACTATTTTGTTTTATATTGGTACATTGAAGTCCAGAAAGTCACCTTTAAATACAGAGTAAAACAAAACATTATCCTTTAACTAGCCCCAAACTAACTCAAATTGAAATCACCACTAATTACCTATATTTCTACATCAGATGAGCAAACAATTTACAGGACACACTTAAGTATTAAGTGTGGAGAGTACGGTGAAATATTTATAAACTGTCCTTGAGAGCAAGACTTAACAAAAAAAAATCTAGAAAAAGATGTTTTAATAAAATCAGTAAAAACCATAGTTGTGATAGTTCAATTATTTTATTAATTTATGTTTAAATAAGTTAAAGTTGTATCACATTCATATGTATAACTTCAGTAAAATTCCATTCATTGATAAATAGGTAAAATACCCGAAATATCACAACTACAAACATTATTACTACTATTTACTGATATATATTTTTGTTTTACTTTCATTTACCTGTAAATAGTAATCCTACATTTATTTCAATACCTTTGTCTCCTTTTTTTCCTAATATCTTCTTATTTGGTTACTATACTAAGGCATGGCTAATCAACTTAAAAACTGGGAGTGTGCAAAACTGAAGGCTTTTGGTAGTCATAAAAGATATATTAAAGCAACATTTATAATTAAAACAGTTGGATAGTAATATTTAAACTGATGAAGTTCAGTACTACAGAAAAAAAAAGCAATAAAATTTTCAAATTTATAGAAATGGAAAAATACTGAATTTCTCACTCCCAAGTCAACAAGACTCCCATTATTTCTTAACACTATCCATGCAATTCCGAATAGATCAGTGATTGCTTCCTGTTTGCATATGCATAAATTAAAATATACTCGGAATTATATTCTGTATCAGACATGTAATTTTGAAAATTAAAATAAAGTTCTTCCAGAAAAAAAAAAGTTTGCAATTAGCAAGTACCAGATAAAATGGCAGTTATTTAGCAAAGCATAGATGAACCTTACCTGCTCTCTTAAAACCCGTGCCAGAGGAGCACAGTCAGTAGACTTGATGTATGTCACAACATCATCTACTGACCATTCCAGGGGATTAGATTTAAGTTCTACTGGCTTTAGAACCTGTAATAAGGAAATTAGAGTAAGCTTAATAATATCATTTGTAACAAATTAAATAAGATTGGTAAATGTTTCAGTTAACATGATCATAATTTCTAAACATGCTGCTTGTGTCAGTAACAGTAAAGTATATCGAAGTCTATAGGATAATGGTAAAGCATATCAAAATCTAATCTATGTGTTAAAAGTAAAGCATATCAAAATCTATAGGTTAAAAGTAAAGCATACCAAAGTCTGTAGGATAAAAGTGAAGCATATCAAAATCTATAGGTTAAAAGTAAAGAATATCAAAATTTATAGGTTAAAAGTAAAGCGTACCAAAGTCCATAGGATAAAAGTAAAGCATATCAAAGTCTATAGGATAATAGGAAAGCATATCAAAGTCTATAGGATAAACCTGAAAGTTTATTTTTTACTTATCTGTTACATCAATTTACTTGTTTCTAGTTGTTCATGCACATGTATATCGTGAATATTGGACAAGTAAGTTTTATTTGGGCATTACTATAATTTAGAAAATTTTCTCAAAAAAACTCTTTTAGACACCTTGACTAATCTGTATGATCAAATACTATGTTCAAAGTAAAGTATGAATTAGACCTAAATGTAATGTGAAAGTGTCTATTTTGTAAGCATATATTTTGCCCTTTGGTATGAATTTTTGTGCTTTTTTGTGTTTAACTGTAAAATATATTCACTACTACACATCTGTCAGTTATCACACTGAAATATTTGTGTTGGAAGAATGACATATTTTCTTAAGATACATACGTGCCAGTTATGATGCTCACTGAAATTTTTTTAAACATCTGTTTTATTCAAATTAAGAGAAGTAACATATAGTAAGTTCACTACCAGTTTTATTTGAAATTTATAATCAGTTGCTATGAGCAGCATTTTCTAGCTATACAAGTATGGGAAATATTTGGTTTATCAATATTAAATAAATGATCAATATCATAAGAAATGTATCTTATTCATATGTTGAATATTTAATATTTTTTATATCTTAATAACGTAATAGAAAGAATTAAAATTTTTTTTTTTAAAGTTTGATTTAGCAAATTTTCAATAAAAATTGGGAAATGAAAAATTTCACTTTTTATCAGTAATTTATGTGAAAATTTCAAGAAAAAAGAGCATTTGAATGAAATTAGAAGTAAATGAGGTATTATGATCAACATCGGCTAAAAGAAGTTGAACAAAACATCTTAAGCTAGACAACACATGAACTTAAATCTCGATAAAGTAAATAATAAATGATTGTTTGAAACAAACTAGTTTATAAAATTTTCTTTCAAACGGAAACTAATATTTTTGGATATTTCAAAATAAGAACTAAGAAATTATTTGTTTCATATACTCTCACAAAGCCTATCTGCTCTAGCTATTCCTAATTTTCAAGGGAATTCAGCTAGTCAACAGTACCCACCATCAACTCTCAAGGGACTCTCTAACTGAATAGTAGGGATTTAACTGTCACTCTATAATGCACCCACGGCCCCAAATTGTGGGGTGCAATTTTGCAGGAACAGAATGTTAAGCATGGACCTTTGGATTCACAGTCTGCTAATAGGCTATGCCCAGTTTAATAAAGATATTAAGGTTTTTATGACAAAGAAAGAATGAACTACTGATTTGTTTTTCATTTTAGTCTAAACATTCTCCATTGATAATTTATATATAAATAAATATATATATATATATCACTGAAACTTTTTAAGTGCTTGTAATATATGCAATATATTTCACTTGTCTTTGAGTAAATTTTGTGTTTTGAAGACTTAGTGTAACTGCTTACTGTTAGCAGTTGATTTAGCTTATAATTCTGTTGTAAAAAACAAAAGTACTCTTCCTCCTGTTTTTATCAAATTATCAAAGTTTCTTCAAATGAAGCTAACAAGTTACAGAAAATTTTATCATTGTCCCCTGTTAACAATACCACATAACTATGTTCTAATTTGCAGTAAACTGGTAAATAAAATATTCAACTGAAATAAAAGAAACTTTTACCTTAACATCGTTGGCACTTTCAACATTGCATTCTGTTTTTGGAACATGTGTCAAAAGCTTTGATCTTTCAACAGTACCGCTTATTGCCACATTAACAGGGATATGGGGTTTTTTAGGTGGCTGTAGGTATTCGGGAGTTAGGCTCTGTTGTCTCTTCACACCACGTTGCTCTAGACTGACGGTGCTAAACCTGGAACCTCGAGTGACAACTGGAGAATGCTGTTGTATTAGCCTTTTGTATTTTCGTTTCCTATGTGTTGCTAATTTCCTCAAAGTTGCTCCTGGTGTGATATTCCCAACACTTTCCCCCACTTCAGCATTGGTGGTGGTAGCTGCTGTAATCGGTTGTTTCTGCTTGATGTACTTCTGTAACACTCGCCAACATCTACGTTTTTTTCCTTTTCCTCGTCTATAAACTCCCGCTGAAGGGGGGGTCTGGCTAATTTTCTTCTTTAGCATATTTTGTACTGTAATTATTAAAATCTGGGATATTACTTAAGCTGAAACTGATATCATAAATATAATTCTAATATCAGACTAAAAAACACAATGTAGCAAATTGATATAAATATAATACCAATGTCAGATTACAAAACACAATATAATAAATCTTTTTATACGGTGAAGTCTGTATGACTGGAATTTTGTGACTCACTCTTATTTTTCCAGTTTTAGTTGCTTATATACAACTAAATAATTCGTTACTCACCATATTTAGTTTTGGTGAGACTAAAACATCGTTCTGGACAATCGTCTCCCACATACTTTGGACCAAATAGGTAAGGACAGCATTCTAACTGTTTACAGATTTTCTTACAAAAGTCTTCCACCTGGTCACTTCGCCGTGCTACTTCTACCATGGCACGGTGAGTTCTTCCTTTGTGCCTGTCGAAAGTATTTACAATTCCACAATTACATTATTATGCAAATTACAATTATTCTTTTGCAACTATTTTTGTTCCAGCAAGGTTGTTTCAGGCTTTTGAGTTCAGGACATTATTAAAGTAAGATACAAAGTTCTAAGTGGAACCAGTTATTTGGTAGAGTAAATATGTCTTCAGAACCTACATCCCAGTGCATATATTTCTAAAAATGTGGTTATGACACCAGGAAACTTCGAGTCTATATGATTACTAATTATGTTATAAGCTAAGAAGTAAAATTAATTTTGATTCACTTTCTTTTCATGATTAGGATCCCAAAATGGGATAAGAGAGTCAACAGGAATTATGGTTAGAAACTTAAAAGAAAAAATAAATACATTTGAAACTTAAATCAAAAGTATTCTATGAGGTTTCTACGAAACAAATTCCACCATTACGAAAAGTTTTTAAAAATAATACAAAACCGTATTTCAGTGTGATGACGTACGTAGTTTGAGAAAAACATATAAAGAATCTGGTTTGACAATCAACCAGAATTAAGGGCAAAAACATCCATTTAAAAACAGTTTACAACTGAGAAATATGATAACTGTAAAGGCTTGAAATAGATAGAAAGAAACCTAAATATGTAAGTACCCTTGTACTTCTATTAGCTTGACTTTTCATATTGTGTAAAGTACGTAAAATGACATTTTTAAATCACTTTGATTACAATAATCTTTGTCATTCATTAAAATTTCAGACACCACATTATATTGAAATCCTAAAATTTAGTTAACTAATTACCAAAACAGAGATATTGGGCCAAGTTAAAAAAAAACATGCTTCCTTTTTTGCAGTCACCTCCATACTTTTAATATATTTTTCTTTTTTTTAATTATCGTTTTTCAATCATACAAAGAAAGTTTCTGAATAAAAAATGAGATGAACACGATTCATTTTGCCATTTTTCTTCATTTGTCAAAAATTCTGTATCATTTTGATTAAAAAATAAAAGACTTTTGTTTGACACGAACCCTTTGAAAAAAAAGCAACAATCATGATAAAAACGGGTGCAAACTTTAAAAGAAGTCATTAAAAAAAAGGAACCACCTCCTTCCTTTTTTTTTTGAAAACTTTGGATACTAAGCATGATTTTTTACATGACTTCATACATAAATTTTCAAATGCAAATAATGGAACTAAAAAGTTTGGGAACTTTCTTTTTTACACATATTGTTGACAATAAGCCACGATGAAAGAATTAGCATTAAGGATCACAAGAAAAACCAAGTAAATTTCAAAAGACCTGGAAACTTTAGCACTTTCAAACAGTTGACTATTATTCTACAGGAGTTTGTTTGTTTTTGAATTTCGTGCAAAGCTACACGAGGGCTATCTGCTCTAGCCGTCCCTAATTTAGCA